GATGCTGGACTAGATGGACCACTGGTCTGATCCAGCCAGACTCTTCTGAGTTTCTTATCATGGGAATGCCTCAGCCTCTGTGCCCTGTTGTTGGCTCCCCAGAGGAACTGGTTGGCCACTCTGTGAGATAGGATGCTGGACTAGATGGGGCACTGGGCTGACCCAGCAAGGGCCCTTCTTAAGTTCTTATGAAGGCCTCAGCCTCTGTGCCCTGTTGTTGGCCTTCCGGAGGAATTAATTGGCCACTGTGTGAGACAGGATGCTGGACTAGATGGGCCACTGGTCTGATCCAGCAGGGCCCTTCTAATGTCCTTATGAAGGCCTCAGCCTCTATGCCCTGCTGTTGGCCCTCCCGAGGAACTGGTTGGCCCCTGTGTGAGACAGGATGCTGGACTAGAGGGACCACTGGTCTGATCCAGCAGGGCTCTTCTGATGTTCTTATGAGCAGTGAGCAGGCGATGTGAAAGACCTCTGCAAGCGACCAAGAGTCTGATTCACTTTAACACACCTTCATGTACTGGCGAGGGACTGTGGCTCAGCGGAAGAGCCTCTGCTCGAAACGCAGAAGGTCCCAAGTTTGATTCCTGGCATCTCTGGCTAAAAGGAGCAGGTGGTAGGTGACGGGAAAGACTGCAGCCTGAGCCCCTGGAGATAGGGTTGCAAGCTCCAGGTTGGGAAATACCTGGAGAAATTGGGTGTGGAGACTGAGGAAGGCGGGCTTTGGGGAGGGGAGGGCCCATGATGGGGTATAAGGCCATAGAGTTTACCTTCCAACGCAGCCATTCGCTCTAGGAGAAGATGTAATCTCCAGCCTCCACCTGGAGGTTGGCATCCCTACCTGGAGAGACGCTGCCAGTTTGAGCAGGCAATACCGGCCACGACGGACCAAGGGCCTAAGGCTGCTTAATCAGGTCACAGTCCGGTGTAGCGGTTTGGTGTCGTGGTTAAGTGTGTGGACTCTAATCTGGGAGAACCGAGTTTGATTCCCCACTCCTCCACTTGCAGCTGCTGGATGACCTTGGGTCAGTCACAAGGTCCTTCAGAGCTGTTCTCTCAAGAGCAGTCCTCGAAAGAACTCTCTCAGCCCCACCTACCTTGGTGTCTGTTTGGGGGAGGGGGAAGGAAAGGAGATTGTAAGCCACTCTGTGACTCCTCTGGGCAGTGAAGGGCGGGGTATAAATCCAATTTCCGCTGCTGCTGCTGCTGCTTCTTGAAAGGGCAGTTCTCTCAGCCCACCCCCACAGGGGCGGATTAAGGCCCTCTAATGTTCCCTCTAAGCTGTGGAGTCTTGTGAGCAAAAATTCTACTTTGTGAGCTACTGGCATTAAAGTTGTGAGCAAACGATTTGGCTTCTGCATAAGTCAGTTTGTTCTGGAGCCCTCCTTCCTGAGCTGAGACAAAAATGTGTGAGCCAGAGGCTAAAAAACTGTGAGCTAGCTCACACTAACTCAGGTTAGAGGGAACACTGCTCACGGGCGCCCTAAACACTGACCAATCTTGCTGCCCCCCCTCCTCTCCACACTGACCCAGTCCACTTTAGTCGTTGACCTGTCTGACCAGATAGACAATGCAGGTTGCAGCAATACAAAAAAAAAATGTATTCATATGATAACTCCATATATACTGGACAAACTAATATTTGCACCCTTTCCCCCAACTTTGTGGTGCCCCCTTTGGCCCTGGTGCCCTAAGCAGGTGCTTAGTCTGCTCAAAGGTTAATCTGGGTGCCTGTTGTGGGGAGGGGAAGGGAAAGGAGTTTGTCAGCCGCTCTGAGACTCCCTTGGGCAGTGAAGGGCGGCGCGTAAATCCCCTCTCTTCCTCCCCTCCCCCGGAGGTGCGCATTCCCACGTGCCGCTTCCCCACCACCAGCACCCGCGTCACAGGGGCCGCGCGTCAAAAAACCAGCCCACGCGGGTCGCCGGCACGTCGGGCGAGCTCCCCCTGGCGGCCGCTGCGCCCCGCCTGCTCGCCCTGCGCCGCCGCCCGCTTCTCTCTGGCGCCCCCAGCGGCCGAAAGAGACCCCCCCCTTCCTCCTCCTCCTCCGCGGCCGCCGAGCGAGGCGAGGCGAGGCGAGGCCGACCCGGCGACTGGGCTGGG